TGTCGTTTTATGTAGGTAGTTGCCTGAATCCTGCGCCCCACATCAAGCAGCAGTAAGTGATATCCAATGTTTTCACGAGTTTTCCTGTACTGCACTTTGAAGCTTTGTGCGAATCATACATCACATTCAGCGAGATGCCGAGACGGAATAAACTTGAAATCTACAGAGTAATGAACAGGTTTGTGGATGGAGGAAGGTACGTCCTCCAACGAAGTGGCTCCCAGTACAGCCTTGGTTGCACCTTCCAATCAAGGTAACTTGCCAAGTCAACTTGAAGGCCCCTCGGAACCGGAACTAGATGACTAATGGTTTTCGGCATTCAGCTAACGCCGGTACAGTACAGCCCAGCCATCCAACACCATGTCATCTACCGAAAGTACGTAGGTGCAGTTGCCTTGCAAACCATCCACGCCTCATCCAACGCCTTGACAACATCATCAGGCAGAGGGCCCTTCTCTAGATCCGCAAGATTGCCCTCGAGTTGCTTGAGACTACTCACGCCAATAATGACACCGTCATTTCCACCTTTGACTCGTGTCTTGAGCTCCGAGTGGTGAACGCACCACCTCAGTGCAATCTCAAGCAGTGTCAGGTTGTGTTTTTGAGCAGCTTCCTCTGCAATCTTGAGAGCCTCAAACGTTGCGTCTTTGAAGTAGCGATCGCGGTACATTATGCCAATGCGGTCAGCCTTGGTCCCGAACCGGCCTTCGTCAGGCTTGATGTCCTTGGACTTGATCTTGCCAGAAAAGAGGCCACCCGCCAAAGGGTTGTAGACAACAATATCAATGCCATACTTGCGGCATGCGGGAACCAGCTCCGGCTCAATGGCACGAGCTGACTATCGTCAGCAGTGGCTGTTGCGCTAAAAGAGTGAGACTTACTAATGGCATTGTACATGGCCTGGTAAATGGTTGGCTTGACCCATCCTCGTTCTTTACAGATGTTGTATACTTCGGCAACCTCCCATGCTGCAAAGTTTGACAGGCCCAAGTTGACAAACTTGCCCTGTTTGTGCAGCTCGTTGACTGCTTCGAGCGTCTCTTCAAACGGCACGCTATGGTCGGGTGCATGGAGATAGAAGATATCCACGCAGTCGGCGCCAAGCTCTTGCAGACTAGTGGTGAAGTGCTTCTTTAGATTCTCGGGCTTGTGAACGCCAGCCTCGAATGGGTAGACTTTGGTAGCAAGAGTGAGGCCGCGGTCTTTCCATCCAGCCTGGCGCGTCCATGCCTCTTGCTTGCCGCCGACATACATGCGCGCAGTATCGACTTCATCGTAGCCCTGCGCCTGGAAGTAATCTAGGTGTTTGGTAAACTCGTCAAACTCGGTGATACGGGCGCCGCTGCTCTCATCGGGGCCTACTCAGTGTTACTAGGCGCACTTGAACCCCGCAGCGTCAACGCATACCAAAGGTCATCAACCCGAGGATGACCCGGTCTTTTGGATTCTGTGCGATCAGAGGCATTTGGCTGTACTATGAGCTACGTGTCTGTGCAGATGTCGTGTGATGCTCAACGTTGGTTGGGGAACTACTGTTATGGCGGCGCATCGTTTGTTCGTGTCCATATGACGCCAGCGGGGTGGATAGGTGGATACCCCACTCTGCCATCGGGACTTGGTGTGTGTTGAGTCCCGACATGGTCATGCCCATTGCTCTACTTATTGCCGAGTACTAGCAAGTGCAAGTATGAAGCGACGCGCGAAGACTGATTCAAGCACGCACTTGGGATCAAGCACAAAGTTTGTCCTACGCCACAGTGATACAGAGGCTGATGATGATCCCAGCGCACCCCTGCCAAGCCGTACTACCTCTTATGTGCATTGCATCCTACTACTCGACAAGACTGCTACTTACTGTACGACTTCAGACTCGTATCCCAATCTCCGCTCTCCGCAACCGTTGGTGTTGGAAGCACGTATGTAATCGAATACGACTCTCCCTTGTACATACTTACTACACAAGTCCAGCCCCCCCCCTTCCCGTCTCTGGTTGCTGACCGCCCCCCCCCCCTCGGCCCTGCTCGGCTTCTCCGATATCGTCCTTGTCTCAGTTGTCGTCGTGTTGGGACAAGCTGCAAGACGAATGACTCTTTGTTTGGCCCGAGAAGAGCCTCGGTGCACTGTAAGCGCCGCCCTGTTGTAGGCAATTGGGCGGTTCCTGGCTGCAATTGGCTGTCTGCCCTCGGGGCTACTATGGCTTGGTTCGAGTCGGCGGTCGCGGGCGTCATGGAGGCGCAGTTGTGTGATGAACGACGTCTGTGCTAGCCGTGTCAGAAGCAGGAACATGCACTCTCCCGCGGCCGTGCAGCCCTGGAAAGCCGATGATGATGGGACATGGCTGGAAGGTCGAGGTGAGCGAGGCCCGTCTCGGACCAATGACGTCGGCCCCAGCCCGATAACGATAAGGAACCCAGCAACCGTCCCTCGCGCACGGTCAGGCGGCCATCATCACCCATCAGCCCACTTACACCAGCGAGCACCAGCGAGCACCAGCATGCAGCTAGCATCTCCGTCACCCCCCTAGGTGCCACTAGGACTGTCGTCAGATCACCCAACTCTGCACCCAGGATCGTCCCGCAACCGTCCCGCCCTTCTTCTGTCCAGCACAGGTGCCACGTAGCAGCGACGCAGGTACGCCCAGAGACAGCACACGCTCGAGCAGTAGCTGCCACAACAATCAATGCTGCACCATATAAGACGGCCTGTCAATCTCCATGCATCGTTTCCACTCTTCTACACTCCATTTCACAGCAGACTGCTGGCTGCAGCGCGCCGGAAAGATGAGTCGATCAGCTGGAGCCCGAGGTGTCATGTGGCCCAGTAAGCCACCCTTTGCTAACTTGCGAATCACTCTGTCCGTCGCACACCATCAACCGAGCCCTCTTCTGATTGGAGCGCAAAACGACAATGCCAGGCACTGTGAATGAATCCTTTCTAGATTTAGCTTCAGGCCATGTGCTCTATTGGAATCCGGCCTCCATGTCACGAATGCGGTGCTCTTGCTCTCAGGCCAGACCCGGAACTCTCTTTGTCTCTACATGATATCATAGTCTCCAAGCCCTCCCTTCTCTGCTCAATCATCCCTTTGCCTTGGAATGCTGAATCCTTTTATCTGTCCATTGGCTCGCCTTGTCTGTCCTGAGCGTAACACATTTGCACCCCTCTTTGTGCACATCTTGGCTCTGTCGGCTGTTCCGAACTTCGGCATCCTTATGCACGCTGCTGCCATTCTGTTGAGCCTTGATATTGGACTCAAATACCAGTCGCATAGCGATACAAGATCTGCGTCTTGGTCGCTATGTGCTGGTCATTCAACTTTGGCCTTCCGGCCAACAGGAAGCCCAAGACCTCGTCGTCGTCATCCGGGGAAAAGAAGAGGCGGGACGCGCCGGCGGACAGCGCGCTTCGCGGGAATGGAAGGCCAATCGTTGAGCAATACTCAGAGAAGCGTAGCTCAAAGGACTCTAGTAGGAAAAGAAGATCTGGAGACTCCACTCTGCCAGCGCAACGTTCCCCGCGCCGCGAAAGACATAGGGACGACCACCCTCCCCAATCACAGCGGCATTACGAGGATGCCTACCGGAGACGTGAGCACTACCGATCAGCCCTGGACTTAGAGGTGCCACAGGCGTACCGGCACTCGTTCGAGCCGGAAACTGTTAATTCATCCCAAGAGACTCTGTTGAATCCACGACCTCACCGAAGTCAACACCATCGGCGAAGGCACCCCACGCAATCATCTCAAGGCACTCTGCGCGGGCGCGGAGCAAAGCGTGACCCTCCCAAGCATTCAAAGTCAAAGAAGAATCTCCGACCTGAGCCTTCACGTGGCTGGTCTTTCTTTGCGACCTCTCCACCAAGGACACCAAAGCGCGAACCTCGCAGCTACCAAACTCTTGAGTCTTCACCCCGTATTCATCGTTCGTCACGCCACCATTACTCTTCCACTACCCTTCAGCCAAGTCCCGAATCTTCCCGCTCTCAGAACCGTCAACATCGACCCCGCCGGCACGAACAATCAACTACGTCTTCGCGCCAAGCTCATCCTCGCACGCCCAACACGACCGTCCGCCGTGTACCGGACCGCCGCTTTGCCGTCCTTGCTGCCACAAACCAAGCACTTGAAGAAGTTCGCCAAGAGGCATTTGCGCAACCTTCTCCTCCCCCAAGGCGTGCGAGATTGCATCGCTATGAAGGTGTTACCATACCCACTTCTCAGATTCCTTTCAATTGGGACTGCATGAGCACTTCGCAGACCTCGTCGGGACGCAGTCGAGGCAATGGAGAGTCGAGTAGTCGGCCAAGACGCTCACGTAGGTGAAAGTCCGTCTCATACAGACCGTGCTGGGCATGGTTAGTAACTAGTGGTTACGAGGTGGCTAGCTTTCCATTTGCTTTTCCCCTTATCTTGAGTTGCGTACGCTTTTTTGTAGCGAACCTCTATCCCTTGACCTTTTCTGTTTACTTTTCTGTTTCATCTATTTTTTTTTCCCCCGCATTATGATCGTAGGATACCCCCTCACTTGCATAACTTGGTTGTTTTGGGCGTCGCATTGCATCAACATCACATCACACGGCATTGGTTGGGAGTTCAAGGCTTGTTTATCTTTTTCTTCATTCCTACAGAGGAGAGACAATTTAATATTACCATTTTTCTTTGGCACACTGTTGTTGTTTCCTTCGAGCCACTGTTTGTATTGCAGTGGAAACAAGAGTTTGCATACGAATCCTGCCTGCATGGGTACCTTGGTCCGTCACTTTGCCTGCCTCATTAAGAACTATGCCCGTGCGTTCTGTATTGTGACACCAACAAAACTTGCTGTTACACACCCGCCTACTGCTTACTCATGGTTTCTAGTCCCAAATTAAGATGTTTGGGTCTGCTGTTCATGTCGGCATCACTATCATCATATCAATCCACTAGCTTATTCTTAACTTTGATACAAGGCCTAACACAACCAACAATATTTATACGATTGATTGCTTTCACTATCCAATATCTAATACCAATCCTGACCTCTACGCTGCCGACCTGCAGAAGAGCTAGCATACATACCTCGTTTTGCCGTTCTTGCTCCAAATCTACACAACCCAGCCAGATGCTGCACACCCGCCAACACCCCATCAACCACCTGCACATGCCCTCCAACCGCCTTTTCAACCGCCACCTTCATATTCGTCATACCCGCACATCCCAGCGCCAGCGTATCCGCCCCCTCGGCCACAAGCTCCCGCGCAACACCGCACATGATACCCAAAACCTCGTTTTCATCTTTCGTCTCTAATTCAAGTACGCCCAAGTTACAACTGCGCACACCCACGCAAAAGGAATCTAAGCCGTAGCTTTTCACGGCGTCGGCGAGCGTATACCGCGAGCGCTGCGATGTCGCTATGATACCAAATCTGCTACCGAGCGTGCGAGCAGCATAGAGTGACGCTTCCATGATGCCGATGACGGGCTGGGACAGCTCTTCCCGCAGCATCTTGGTGAGCGCGTGGTCGCTGTAGCATGCGATGAGGAAGGCGTCGTATTGGTGAGCTATGGGGATGATTGCTCGGACGGATGCTGCCGCTGACATGATGTTGTCAAAGTTGCCCTCAATGGCAGAGGGAGCAGGGTGCGGTGCGGTGAAGCCGTCGACTGTGACGTCTGGGGGGAGTGTGGGTTTGAGCATGTGCAGGCAGGCGGTTGTCATCGAGGGTGTGGCGTTGGGGTTGCAGAGGAGGATGCGGAGTTGGCGGGGGGAAGGGGTGCCGGTTATGGATGGCATTTCTGTCGTGTGAATGCCATTTGTTGAAGCGTTCTTCTCGTTGCCCAGTGCTGTGAGTCTGGGTGGCTCGATTACGCCGGTTTGTGAATTCAAGATGCCATAGTGTTCTGTTCGTCGATGTCTGGCGAAATCGAATGTTCGTGTTTTGCCAGGCAAGCATCGATCGAGGTCACAATCCGCAATGATTACCTCGTCTTCCTCCGTCTGGCTCTCGACTATAATCTTTCCATCGGGTCCAACGATTGTCGAACCGCCTACAAGATCATACTTGCCATCGTCCAAACCACATCGTGCCGCGCTAACCGAGAAGCAAGAGTTCGTGTACGAATGCGCCTGCATGACCAACTTGTGCTGAAAGATGGCATCATCATGTGCTTCCTGTGCGCTTGAATCCGTACCCCACATTTGCGGCGCATAAACTGGAGTATTAAACCCTACAAACACTACCTCTACGCCCTGGAGACCGAGACATCGCCATGCTTCTGCCCACCGTCTATCATTACATATCATCATCCCGAATATTGGTTCCCCTTGGTCAATCGTATTCTCCGTTAGATCCGGCACACGATATGCATGGAAACCCAAATTTCCAGGCTTGAAGTATCGCTTTTCCAGTTGGTTTACAGCGTCTGGGTCGGAAAAGGGTTCAACATCTCCTGGTAAATGTACCTTGCGGTACTTGGATAAGACAGATCCGGACTTGGCATGGTAGTAGACACAAGTATTGTAACACTCTTTTCCATCTGTTGCCTCTGCGAACCCAATGCAGATATCTACGCCTAGCTCTTTTGCCTTTTCGAAAATACCCTTGGTGCTATCTGCCGTGGTGACGTCGCCGTGCTCGAAGAATGATTCGAGCTCCTCTTTGTCGGTGATCAGGTAGCGAGGGAAGAAGGTTGCAAAAGTGCACTCAGGGAAGAGAACTATTTGCGCGCCCTGGGAAGCGGCGTTTTCGAGCAGTTTGATGAGCCGTGATAAGGTGTTTTGGCGGTCATCGCTGCGGTGCACGGCGCCGACCTGTGCTGCTGCGATACGAAGCGTGCGGGGCATTGAAGTTGATGCTATCAGAGTGGTTCGAGATGGGTTTCATGAAGAGAGTTTGATATGTAAAGGGAATCTTTTATGATAAAAGTGAACGATCTGAGCAGATGAGGCTTATCAAGGACGAGATAAGTGGGGATGTTGTATGCTCGGAGATAAGTGCGGGGAAGGGTTGTTTTCGCTTCTTGTTCACTTCCTGCTTGCTCCAAAATCCTGGCGCCTTATCGTACCAGCCATACATTATGTTTTCATCTTCTTGATTAAATATGGAACGGTCACACTAGCTGACCAGACGGAACTGAGCAATGCGTCTGATTCAAAAATTAAACGCGTATTTAACACCGGTTTACAGGACATTCCAAGTACACTCGAGTAAACTACCTAACACATGTATAGTCTTCCTATTTGAGCTTAGTTATTGACAGCTTCCCTGGATTTTCTGAGTCGCTTGGCGGCAAATAATAGTCTTTAGTGATTAATAGCCTTATTTCCTCAACTTATCTACCAACCATATTTAGTGGATTTTATTTCTCATTTTTGCCTATCATGAACACCATTTATACCGATCTCAAACATTTACAATAGTAGTCTCTTAGAGAACTTGTACAATTACATCTCGACTAATCTGCATCTTTGAGTTGATGTCTCTGTGTACATACCTCATTCGTGTCTACATTTGGATAAAAATCCTTATTCGCAAAGCATTCGATATCGGAAAATGAAATTCTGTCATTCAGTTATATCTACACTACCTCTAAATCATTACATCTACCACCCCCAATCTTATTCTCTTTTTTCTTTCACAGTTTGCGATCCGGAGAAGCAGACTGGAGGATCAATCGATGACGTCAGCAGGGCAGAACATTACTGCTTCCAGCTAAATAATTACCGCATCAAGCTAGTAAAATCCAATCAACCTCCAGTAACCAAGACTGTTACTTGCTTCCGCGAGGAGGCATTCACTAAGGCAACTCCCAAGTGAAAAAAAGATGCAGCATATTCTTACGCTTTCTAGAAGTCTACGCAAGCCGCCCGAATGGAGCTGCTGATCGACCGGGGAAGATGATGTTGAACAGGGGGCGGAATAAGACCATCCTATGATAGTTCCCCACGTTTGTGTTGGGTCTAGTCCGGCATGCTTACCACTAGAACTGATCAAACAAAGTATAGCGAAGATGATGGGAATGGAAAAGTTGCGTCGTTGAAGCTATACGCGTCCCAATAAGTTACTCCACCAGGCTGTCAAAACGCGCTGGCGAGTCGGAAGCTGCAGATGTTGCCCCGGGCCCCAAACCCAATTTAATACCTCACACGTAAAAGATTATCCAATCACCCCATCTGGGACTCGTTCTGGTTCGTCGAGTATGATAGTAACTGTTTCAAGAATGGCGGTGTCGCCTTGTTTTCCGTCTGTGCCCAGCCTCTCTCAGCCGCTGGTGGGCTGGGCAGAAAAAGTCGCGAGTCGTGGCGGGTGGGCGGTCGTCCCCGCCAACACAGACGTGCAGCTTCCCCAAGCTTTCCGTCTCCATTCTCCATCTCTCCACACCACACTACCTCTACCTCAATTGTACTACGCGTTTGCTTGTATAATCTTGAAGAGCCCTTTGTTTTGCTGAGTTTTTGTTTTTCACGCTTGCAATCCGGCAATCATGCCTTCCAACCACCATGGGCATGATAGCTCGCACAACGTGTCGCGCGTGCTGTACGATCACCACCGAGGCAACAATGGCAGGCAGTCTGAATCCGTACCACTGCTAGGAGCCACGCACGGAATTATCCCCGAGCACATCCATCCGGATGGTGAGAGTGGGCGCCGGGGCTTCCACTTGTCCCATTTCATCAACGTTGCATGGCGCTCTGGCAGCAATGCTGCAAAGTACACCAACTTGCTCTGGCCCTTTGTCATTGTCGCCATTGTTCTGCACTTTGCGGCACCGGGCCTCCCACTTGCTGTCTTCGCAACCAGCTACATTGCCATGGTACCCGCAGCCAATCTTCTTGGCTTCGCGGGTCAGGAATTTGCACGCAAGATGCCAAAGGTGTCTGGTATCCTGATCGAGACGGCGTTTGGATCCATTGTTGAAATCATCCTGTTTATCATTCTTATTGCGAAACATAACTCGGAGAATGGTTCTTCGGAGCACGGAAACCTTATTCCTGTTATCCAGGCTGCCATTCTGGGTTCCATTCTTACCAACTTGCTGCTCTGCCTTGGACTGTGAGTATCTCCCCATCCCCCAGATACAGAACATCATACTGACATCACACAAAATAGCTGCTTCTTCGTCGGAGGTTTGAGACAAGCAAGCCAAAAGTTCCATGCTGCTATCAGCGAAGTCGGTAGCGGCCTATTGCTAGTCGCCGGTTTTGGTCTCCTCATCCCCAGCGCCTACTACTCTGCGCTCAAGGGCTCAGTTGTGGAAAAAGCATCAAAGCACCATGAGTTCACCGAGAAGATCCTGCAACACAACGTCCTCAAGATCAGTCAGGTGACTTCGATCCTCCTCATCGTCGCCTTCTTCATGTAAGTTGCCCAAGCCATGGTAAGTGTCTCGTGCTGACACGTGCAAGCTTCATCTTCTACAACGCCCGCTCGCAGCACTCCATCTTCGATGAGGTTCTTGAAGCCGACGAGCACCATGATCTGGACCACCACGAAGACGTTGCCAAGCCCAAGTTCACCATGACAGAATGTCTCGTCGCCATTACCGTTTCCCTGGCCATTGTCACGCTTCTCGCCGTCTTCCTCGTCGAGCGCATCGAAGACGTTGTCGAGTCTGGTGTTCCCGATCAGTTCCTTGGTCTGATTCTGCTTCCCCTGGTTGAAAAGGCAGCAGAGCATCTTACTGCCATTGATGAGGCGTGGGATGGACAGATTGTATGTTGCATTTTTTTCTCCTTCTTCTCCAGTTCTGAATTGCATTGTGTGCTGACTGCAAAATAGAACTTCGCTCTCTTCCACTGCATTGGACCCTCGATCCAAACGGCTCTTTTCAATGCCCCGCTTGTTGTCATTGTAGGCTGGTTCCTGGGCAAGGAGATGGATCTCAACTTTGAAATCTTCATGATTGTCCTGCTCGTCTTGTCCATTGTTGTGGTTGGAAATTTCCTCCGTGACGGCGAGTCGAACTACCTCGAGGGCGCCATGTTGATTGTAAGTTTCTTCTTTCTTTGCTTCCGTGTTGAAGTTGTTCTTTTGCTAATTTCAATACTTTGAACAGATTGTCTACGTCATTGTGGCTGTGGCTGCATGGTACTACCCCAATCCCGACGTTGCTACTTCGAATGGGGTACAGTACTAGCCATACCCATGGTTTACTCACTCACGCCTTGGATTAAAATTGTCGAGAATACTTCCCTCTGTCACGATCAAACGCCCCACGATTATGTCTTATGAAAAAGCTGGAGATTTAAGGCGATGCAAGTTGAAAAATCGGCTGATATTAACCGAATGAGGAAATGAACTGCATTTGTTGCATTTGGGACAACCAATCACAATGCAAAGCACCATTTGGAACAATATGTTGTGATTGATTTCATTTCATGATTACGTACATAGCCTAAACTAGCCATGATGAATATACTCATATATACATATAGACACATCCTTTTGCCCCATGTTTAAAGGGCTTTTTTCCACCGCATCAAAAAGAAGAATTACATTTACTTGTCTGCACCAGCAAGCTTGAGCAGCTTGGGGAAATCAGGGGTACCGAATCCGGTAACAGGATCCCAGCCCTCGGTAACGGGGAAACCCTGAACGTTGCATCCGTAACTGAATCCCTTCTTGATGTCGGTGAGGCCCTTGTATCCCTTCTTGTACAACCAGGGGTTCAAGAAGCCAAGCGCGGGCTTGCCAGAGGCAATCAGGGCGTCGTTGACGAGCGAAAAGATACCAGAGGTCAAGGGGCAAGACGCCGAGGTACCGGAAATGGTGCCCTCGGTGCCGTTCCAGAAGTAGGCAAAGTAGAGACCCTGGGCAGAGAGATCGGGGTATCCACGACCAGTCTTGTTGTACAGGCCCTCGTATGTGTTACCGAGGCCCTTGACATACTTGGACACAACACCATCTTGGTACGAAGGGCGGGCAAAGTAGTTGCTGAAGCCAGCGCCGCTAGAGTAGAGGTCGCGGAAACCGGCGGATGTGTTGCGCGAAGGGCGGTATGCGCTCTCTTCAGGCTCAAAGTTCATGGTTGCGCCAACGGCAGTGACATAGGGGCAGGAAGCAGGGAATGAAGGCAAGAATTGGGCCGTGTTCTTGCCGTCGTTGGTGAAGCACGTGTTTGTGCCGCCGACGCCGTGATCGCCCGAAGAGAAGAAGAGGGTTGTTCCTCGTGCACCGACTTGAGCGAATTGGCGGCATACACGTTCGGCGTAGGAACGGGGGATAGTCTGCTCATCATCACCGTATGAGGTGGAAATGATGCGGGGAATCGAGCGTTGGTTCAGGAGCCAGTTGACCCAGACAAGATAGGGTTCGTTGGTGTTTGTTGGCGTGTTAATGTCTGGGTTGAAAGGCGGCGAGCCGCCCGTTGAGAATGAGGTGATGGGCGTCTTGTAGCTTATTCCAGCAATGGCTTGCACGTCCAGGTTGGCTTCCCTGCTGATGCCAGAGGCGGATTGGTTGGCTGTCAAGGGACCATCTTGAGCAGGGCCATTGTCAATAGTGATTGCCTTGAAACCATAGGCTTGTGAAACAGCCTTGGGTTGGTACTTTTCCAGGAACAGCTTGGTGTCTGGACGGATAGGAATCTCGCCAAGGTAGTTGGTGAAGCCAACACTGTTCTTGTCGCTGGCCTTGGTCTGATACCACTTGGTCTTGTAAAGAGTTTGGAAGCACTCCGGTGTGACAGAGGTCACGTTGCAGACAGCAGAGATGGAAGCGTCTGAGGGGGTTTTGTAGCTTTCAGGCACTTCAGCAACCTCGTTGATGTAGGTCGCCTCGTTAGCCGCACCACGGAAGAAAGAGGTAGTCGGCTGAACGGTATCAATGTGATCGTGCAAGTGACGCGGCAGAGACCATGAGGTGGTACGTGCGACAAGGGAGCCGTCCTTGTGCTTGTAGGTGTGGTACTCGGTATCAAGCAAGCTTTCGGCCATCTCAATGGGTACATGAACGATGATCCAGTCCTTGGCGGAGCTGTAAGCCATGTTGTCGGTGCTGACGCCGTTCTCGCGAAGCCACTCGTGAACCAAGTCATAGGTTTCCGAGCTAGGTGCAACGAGCTTATCCACCTCATCGGCGCTGAGGTGGTGGCCATAACGAGCATGGTCAGGGTCAGAAACTATGACATGTGAGCTTATTGAATGTGTTGGGTTTCCAAATGATGGGTTCACGACAAACATACCCTCTTGGAGATGGCGATCAAGCTCGTCAAATCGGCCCTGCTTAAGACCAATTTGCAGTTGAATCGTCTTTCCACCGTGTGCACGATCAAGCCTGGTCCATCCTCGGGGCGAAGGGTGAGTTTCCTTGACAAGATAAGGGGACCGAGCCTGGACCGGAGAGGCAAAGGCCTCCCGGGCGGCGGCGGCAGTCAAGAGGACAGAGGCAAAGATGTGCATTTTGGGCAAGACGGGTGGAGGGACGTGTCGAAGACAAAGAAGCAGCACACGCGCACATCTGGAGACATGAGGGGACTTGAGGGCTATTTAAGCCTCGTCAAGAAATGACTAGAGCAGCACCATAGTGGTCGCTTGAGGTTACTTCCAGATGGCCGGGTGACTAGGCGAAGGTTCGGTGCATGCCCATCGCGTGCTGTGGTTACGGACATTGGCTACGTTCTTGTCGTATAGAGGCAAATAGACTGGGCCCTGCTTGTGCAAGCCCGGGATGTCGCAGCCGCACTGCGACGGATCGGGCAGGTCTGGTCAAGGGAGAGATGGGATTCGCTGCGGTGTGGATGAGTCGGACATGACGAAGTGGTTGAAAGTACGGAAGAGGTTGATGTGCCTGCAGCGGTTTAGTTGTGGGCACAGAGGCGCTAGTGCTGCAAAGGGAAGCTGGGAAGCCATGGCCTGAGGCTTTACTGATAATCAAGCACAACAAGCCACTAGGATGCGGAGCTTGGGCTGCTCTTGGGGTGCTTAATTTGCTCTTGGAAGGTGAATGGGTCCTTGGCCATGTCTTCCCGGTCTTGTGCGGCCAAATTGCCACTGACGAGCTGAGCGGCCTTTTTCTCTCTCTTGCAGACACGCGACCTGGCTATAGTAGCGGGCATGTTGGATTCAATCTCAACAGGCTCGGTCCGACTGGCTATTGGCTTCGAGTTTCATGCTCCCTCGATGGTGGGAGAAGACTAAGATACATTGGCAACCCGGGTACCGGGAGATTTGGACTGCTGGGTTACGTTTGTATAGATGAATGACATGGTTGAACTGCCTGTCCAGGCCAAGTGGATTTGTTACGAGAAGCACGTGCCATGGATGGCGCTCCACCCCGCCATCGCCATCGTTCTCTCTTACCTGTGCATACATACATATGTACGTCTGTTCCATCTTATACATATCCGGATTAGGTAACCATTGAGGTTGTGGTTTGGGTTGGTTTGACATGCCTCGATGTGTTTAGTGCTTACCTGATCTCCCTGTGGTTAAGCTTCCTACGGTCATGTCATACGTAATGCCGTCCCCTGCTACCTCTCGTAGCCTTGATTAGTACATGGTCTCCTCACGACGTTCCATTACACGCCAACAGGGCACTGTTTTCCATCCTCTACTACACACATTTCGCATCTCGAGGGCGGGATATTTTGAAATCATTAATTAAAGAATCAGGTGGCCCCAATATTTGCTCTTAAACACACACATGTCGACTCGCAATCAAAACAGACCCTACTCCAGAAGCCCGGCATGTCCCACAATCAAGACGGTGACGCGACAATAAACACAACAGCGAGCTCACATGTACTTGTTCTAGTAGACGTGTGCAACCACTTCAAGTCACACACTAGCCCGTGCACGCCATACAATAGACCCACACTCACACAGCCAGTCCTACCTAGCCGCCTAGCAGTTGCAGCCGGCAGGGCCCTGTGTCTGGTTGGCCTCTGGCCTCAGGTTGACGCCCGGTCGTTGCTGGCCTGGCCTCAGGTTTCGTGGGCCGGCCTGGTCAATGGGCAGCTTCTTGGCAATGGCTGTGAAGAGTTCCTTTACATTCTCGCTCGTCTTGGCAGACGTCTCGAAGAAGAGCAGGCCGGCCTCGCGGGCATATTGCTCGGCATCGGCCGTCGAGATGGCGCGCTTGTCGGGCGACTCGGTCACCAAGTCGAGCTTGTTTCCGGCAAGGGCGATGATGATGTTTTCGTTTGCTTGGCGCTGTAGTTCCTTGACCCAAGCCTTTGCCTTGTCCAGAGATGCCTGGCGCCTGTCAGTACCTTGGTGCATGACGAAAGCGTAGAGGTACCTACAGCTTGTGTGATGTCGTAGACGACTACGGCGCAGTTTGCGTTTCGGTAGTACATGGGGGCAAGGGACTTGTACCGCTCCTGGCCAGCAGTATCCCAAATCTCAAACTTGACCGTTGTGTTTTCATCGAGGGCGATGGTCTGCGTGAGGAAGGCGGCGCCGATGGTCGACTCCCGGTAGTCGTCGAATTGGTCCTGCAACAGTCAGCGGCGAGTGCGAGTGGGCCTCTTGTTGTGCATGCTTACTTTGACAAAGCGCAATACTAGAGACGACTGTGACGGGTTAGCTCTGGTACATGTTCCCATGGCACTCATGGCAGAGAGATAGGCTAGCGCACCTTTCCGACAGCCGATTCACCTGCACACTTGTCAGTCGGGGCACAGCACACGGCACACATGCACGCCTACCTAACAGCACAAGCTTGAACTGTGCAAATCTGGAGCCTCCGGGTCGTTGGCCCTGCTGCATCCTGCCTGCCGACATGTTGGCGAGAATGACGCGGCGCTATCAGGCGGCGGGAGTAGTAGTGGTGATGGTTGTGGAGGCGACGAGCGGGGACGGGAAGAGGGCGGGGCAGATTTGCGAGGGCCAGATGGGTGTGCTTAAGGGGAGGGTGTAGCGAGGGAGGCAGACGAGGGTGTGGATGCGGTGGTGGGAGTGGTTGTTGCTGTGACCAAGTCGTCGTGGTTCCGTCTGGGTGCCAGGTGCCAGGTGCTTGGCCTTAGCGCACGAGTCGGACCCTGGCGCCGCAGAGGCCGCCATGACGAAACGCTGGGCCCCGTATGGCCTGCGCGAGAGAGAGAGTAATTCCTACCTACAACGTATGCTCCACGACTACACTACACCCCGGGTAGCGCCAAACACCAAGCCATAGTAATTCTACTTCATCACCACCACCACGCCCACGACGGGACCACCCGCACCCCCCTTGTCCACCCAGAGCCCGGAGCTCCCCTCCCCTCCTCTCCCTCCACGAATCAGTCGCCCACCATGAGCGTCGCCCTCCCCTACCGCGACATCAACGTGCACTCGTCGCCCTCGCACTATGCCTTCTCGTCCCCCTCGTCCCCCTCGGCGCCCACGCTCGTCGTCGACCGCCCCTCGGGCGACATGCGCCTGCATGATGGCAAGTTGCTGGGTTCTAAACGTGTCTCGAGCATTGCCGGTATCCTGGGCATGATCAAGCTGCGCCTCGACAAGTACATCATTGTCATCACAAAGGCAGAGCCCGTTGGTCGTATAAAAGGCCATATGGTCTACCGCATTGCTTCCACCGAGTTCCTGTCCCTGCGCGAGAAGCCCCTGCACGACGTCGATGAGGACAACTATCTCAACTTGCTCAAGACGCTTCTCAAGACATCCCCGCTGTACTTTTCCTACTCGTTCGACATCACAAACACCTTCCAGCGCCAGGCCCACCTCGACCCCTCGACGCCCCTCTGGAAGCGCGCCGACGACCGCTTCTACTGGAACCGCTTCGTCTCCAGCGACCTCATTGACTTTCGCGGCGGCCTAAGTGGCGGATATGGAAGGCACTCGGCCGGCCACCAGCCCGGCGCAGACCCCTACATCCTGCCCGTCATGTATGGCATGCTGGAGATTAAGAGGACGTCCGTCAAGGGCACTCCCCTCACATTCATTCTCATCACCCGCAGGTCCCGCCTCAAGGCCGGAACAAGATACTTTTCGCGCGGCATTGACGAGAACGGCAACGTGTCCAACTTCAACGAGACGGAACAAATCATCATCCTCAACGACAATGCCTCTGGTGGGCCCGGCGGCTTCGGCTCAACCCAAAACGGAACAGCGGGTGGCAATGCTGGCAAGGAGACACAGGTGCTTGCCTATGTGCAGACAAGAGGAAGTGTCCCCGTCTACTGGGCCGAGATCAACACGCTCAAGTACACACCCAAGCTGCAGGTTCGTGGCATTGAGAGCGCGTTGCCAGCGGCAAAGAAGCACTTTGCTGAGCAGATCCGCCTGTACGGCGACAACTGGATGGTCAATCTGGTCAACCAAAAGGGCCGCGAGCAGCGCGTCAAGGAGGCATACGAGCAAATGGTCCAGATGCTGCACACGTCCCCTGCTGAAAACGTCGAGGGGGATCGCATTACCCCTGAAAAGTTCCACATTATCGATCCGGCGCGGGCCCAAACGGTATACGACCGCCTGCACTACGTCTACTTTGACTTTCACAACGAAACAAAGGGCCTGCGATGGGACCGGGCCAAGCTGCTGCTGAACCAGCTTGAGCCACACATTGTCAAGCATGGCTACTTTTGCGGTGTCGACATGCCCGGTGATGCGGGTGGTGTTGAGGTCCGCCGCCACCAGACGGCTGTGGTGCGAACAAACTGCATGGACTGTCTGGACCGCACAAACGTGGTGCAGAGCATGCTGGGTCGCTTTGTCCTCTCGCGCATGCTCATTGACTTGGGCCTTATGCGCGAGGGCGAGAGCGCAGAGGAAGACGCTGCGTTCGAGCACCTGTTCCGCAACATCTGGGCTGACAACGCCGACGTCGTGTCTAAATCTTACTCTGGCACCGGTGCCCTCAAGACGGACTTTACGCGCCTGGGTGTGCGCACCAAGCAGGGTGCGCTGCAGGATCTCAACAACTCGATTACGCGGTACTGTCTGAACAATTTCAGCGACGGTCCTCGCCAGGATGCTTTTGACTTGTTCCTGGGTAACTACCTCCCCAGCGACTCGGGCATAGGCGGACAGCTCCTGTTTGCCGACCGCCGGCCCTTGTTTATCCAGTCCATACCGTACATTCTTGCCGCGAGCATCTTTTTGATCCTCGTCAGCACGTTTACCCGGCGCGCACCCGATGCGGCTGTGTGGCCAATCCGTCTTTTGCTGCTGCTGTCACTTGTCACAGCTGCGGCGTGTTTCAACTTCATCTGGGCCAATGGTACTCTTTATGTAAGTTTTTTTCTGTTACCAAACTATTCTGACTTTTGTTTTCTACATGTTTGTTTGTTTTGTTTTGTTCAAGCCCCAGGTTTTTAACGTACAATTCAGGTTAACTGGCCCAAACTCAACCGCCAACCCCCACAAATCGAGGCGTTCCAGGATACGCTGGCCAAAGTGTCACAGAGCAGCATGGTGGGGCCGCTAGTGGGCACAAAGCACGAGAGGGGCAAGAGCGATGCAAGGTTATTGGGATTGGAAGAGGGAAAGAAGAGGATCGAGTAGTCTTGTTGTTTGGCATCGAGTCGAGTGTGTTCGCGCGTTCTTCTTATAAATCTTACTTTTCCTTAGTTTCAAGAGTTAGACGGGTAGATTGGAAGGGAAAAGGCTTCTTTTTCTTCTTTTCTTTCTTTCTCTCTTTCTTTCTCTCTCTCTCTCTTGCCTACTTGCACTCTTGTAATTCTAGCCGTGTAGGTCTGCTGTATAGATGGTAATATTCTTCTTCCTCTATCTTTCCTTTCTTTTTTTTTCTTGAAAGTAATTCTCAAAGTCCTGAGGGTGTGGTGGGGGTACACGGCCGAATATATATATTTATACATCTAACAGATCAACCATCAGAACAAGGAGAGTGACTTAGTGTTTGCAAGGATAGACGCAATTGGGGAAATTTTGAAACGTGAGAAACCTTTTCTTCTTAGCCCATTCTACTATACTCTTGCATGTACTGGTTCCATCATAACAAAAGAAAAAAAAAATTAGAGGGAGACAAAAGAGAGAGGTGGGGTATCGTTCATTACCAGTTTGAAATACTGTACGCCAGAACAATCATGAGTATCGTCATTATCATTAAATGGAAAGACTGAAAGACAAAAGAGAAAGAGGAAAAGGTCATGTCTCATCATTACAACAAAGAAGATAAAACACAGAGAATCAACAACTCGCCCTGACAGTCGACAAGACGACAAGGTCAAATTCCTCGTCCACCCGCTCCTCGCCGTGGTAGTTTTTGTTCCTTGGCCTGTCCTTGCTCTCAGGACTACATCTCGCGACGAACAAGTCCCATCCATCGTAGTCGCCTTGAAGAAGCCTTGTACGCAGCTGCTCGAATTGGGATTTGGCTTTCGTGGCGTGCGAGAGGAAGAGGGAAATTTGTTTTTCTCCACTGACCATTAAGGGGATTGATGGTCGGGGTGATGTTTTGGGGGAAGAGGACGGAGAGGACGAAGAAGAGGTAGACGAAGAAGAAGTCGACGACGCTGCTGGATGGGCATTGCAATCGTCAAGTTCGGGTAGGATCCACAACTCCGACTCGGATGTGGTGGTTTCGCAGGGCGGGGTGAGGTTCAGACAAACGCTTTGGTGCATGTTGTCCATGTTGTCTGCATGACTGGGTGGATTGGGTTGGTGGGAAAGCCAGGGCTGTATCGCGCTGTTGTTGGTGATATCGCTATCGATGTCGCCGTCGCCGTCGTCGGGACTTTGAATTTCGTTCTGTCCGCTGAGAGTGGAATCGACAAGTGTGCTGGATGCCGGCTCGCTGGATGCTTTTGAGGCGAAATGTGGGGATGGGGCACGCGATCGCCGAGGCGGCGTGGTGTGTGATGCGCATGATGGGAAACTGCCATATATGGCGTGACTAAGGTCGTAGCGGAACTCTGTATCGTCAAGCGCGTGTGCGCTGCGGGTCGGGCCGCTCTTCATAACTGAGACGGGCGTGTGTAAGGATGATTCTTGCACAAAAGTGTGTAGCTGGTGAGGGCAAACTCTCAAGGTGATGGTGAGACGGGTCGAGGAGTGTGTGGTGTTTGAACAGGATCGAGTCGCAGCCAAGAAAAGCCACCAGGAAATTTTTGTGAACTGGCAAACAAGTGGGGCCTCGTCCGCTGTTTCAAGACAAGTTTGCGTGGACGGGATGATTCATGTGGGAGTGGAATAGGTGTGGGTGGGCTGGGAGGCGGGAAAGCGGGTGCTTGTGGGCTTGTGATGAAGGTGATCTGATGACGTTGCAAGGTGGTGACGCGAAGGCTGTGCTCACTCGCCGAGTTTCAGATTGGGGGCGAAGGGCTGACAGTGATAGTGAGAGGTGAAGGGAGAGATGGGATGAAAGACAGGGAAGATGGAGAAGAAGAAGAAGGAAAGGAGACGAAAGGGGAGGTTAGCATATATCAAACGTGTGGTGTGCACCATGGACAGCAGTAGTAGTAGTAGCAGCACAAGCATGGCAGCTGGACGGACACGCCGTAGTGTTTGTATGGGCTCACGCGAAGATGGCACCACAAACATGGCGTTTGTCAGCAGCGCCCAAAGATGAGGCGAGATGATATCGTGATGGTGGTGGTGGTATTGGTTGTATTGTAGTGTAGTGTAGTGTAGTGGCAGTGACGGTAGAAGTCATGGCGAGGAGAGGATGGCTGCCCGTGTCCGTGCGCCCTGACGTGTGTCGTCGGCAGAAGCTCCAAATCTTCGCAGGCCGGCTTTGGCACTGGCTCAACGACCATCACCCGCCCATCAACATCCCCATCCCCGCCATCCGGAGGCAGCCCACCATGCTGCGCGCCTCCATTCTTCGGGCCCGTCCAGCTGCCAGGCCATTGGCCTGCCACGCCCGCCCGCAATGGCATGCCGCCAGACGCTTCTTCGCCGATGATAAGAAGAGTCTGGGCGAGACGACCGTCCCCAACCCGGCACCCACAACGGAGCCTTCACTGAGCCCATCCAGCCCCGCCCATGAGACAAACACCATCCCTCCCTCGGACGTGCCAAAACCCCCGCCCGCCCCAGACAGCTCCATCGCCGCTGCCGGCGCATCGCGTGATGCTCCCACCACCGCCCCCAAGACGACTCCCCCCACGGGGCCAGGCACGGCCAGTGTGGCACCGGACCCCGTCCAGCCAAAGCCAAAGAAGAAGAAGAGGCGGTTCCTCCGTGGCTTCCTCCTCCGCCTTGCCATCCTCTCGGGTCTGGGATACGCCGGCGGTGTTTACTACTCGCTCGTCTCGGACAACTTCCACGACTTCTTCACAGAGTACGTTCCGTACGGAGAGGATGCTGTTGCCTACTTTGAGGAGCGCGAGTTCAGGAAGCGTTTCCCTGGCCGTGCTGGCGACCCCCGGCTGCACCCCCAGATCTCGGGAGAGAACAAGGTCACCATTCCTGGAAACAGCGGCCTGACTGCCCGCCCGGTCAAGGAGAACAGCAGTGATCTCGCCACTACAGGCCCACATCTGAGTGCCGTTGCCGACAACAACAAGGTGGACAAGGTCGAGTCGAGCGGACAGCAGCCCAAGGTCTCGTCGCAGGAAAAGAAGCCAGAGCCCAAGCAAGAAGCCCCTTCCAAAGCCATTGCCCCGCTTGATCACCTCAACGTCCCCGCTGCCACCGAACCCGTTGTCCAGGATGTCGTCAAAATTGTCAATGACATCATCACCGTCGTCAACGCAGACGAGTCCAACGGTGGAAAGTACAACTCGACCCTCGACAAGGCCAAGGGTGATCTTGCCAAAGTAGTTGCCGATATCAATCTGATGAAGGCAAACCTCGAAAAGGAGTCCGAGGAAAAGGTCAAGGCAGCCCACGCCGAATTCGAGCAGGCCGCCAAGGAACTCGTCCAGCGCCTCGACCACCAGATGCAGGCCCAGGAAGCTCAGTTCAAGGAGGAATTCGAAAACGAGCGCGAACGTCTGTCGCAGGGCTACAAGGAGAGGCTGCAGTCTGAGCTGCAAGTAGCCCAAAAAGTCTACGAGCAGAAGCTCAAGAACCAGCTCCTCGAGCAGAGCATCAGCATGCAAAAGGCTTTCACTGCCACTGTCAAGGAGCGTGTCGAGGCTGAGCGCGAAGGCCGCCTAGGCAAGCTCAACGAGCTCTCGTCTTCGGTGCACGAGCTGGAGAAGCTGACGGCTGAGTGGAACATCGTCATCGATGCCAACCTCAAGACACAACACCTTGTCGTTGCTGTTGAAGCTGTGAGGTCTGCACTCGAGTCTCAGATCATCCCTAAGCCCTTTGTCACTGAGCTGGCCGCTCTCAAGGAGATTGCCGAAGATGACCCAGTAGTCAGCGCTGCCATTGCCAGCATCAACCCCGCCGCCTACCAGCGCGGCATTCCCAGCTCCGCTCTTCTGATTGACCGCTTCCGTCGCGTTGCCGCAGAAGTCAGGAAAGCTGCCCTTCTGCCCGAAGACGCAGGTGTCGCTTCTCACCTCGCCTCACTCGCCATGTCCAAGGTTCTCTTTAAGAAGTCTGGTCTCGCCGTTGGTGGCGACGTCGAAGCTACTCTCGCACGCACAGAGGTTCTCCTTGAAGAGGGCGACCTAGATGCTGCTGCACGAGAAATGAACAGTCTACAAGGATGGGCAAAGGTATTAAGCAAAGATTGGTTGGCGGAATGCAGAAGAGTCCTCGAGGTCAAGCAGGCCTTGGACGTTATTGCCACTGAGGCTCGCCTTAACAGTCTGCTAATTGACTAAAAGGATCTTCTTCTTTCTGTTATTCTCAGCCCTGTTGATGTGTATATCCCCTAGATTTAGCCATAGACTAGGCGATGTCGGGTCTTTCTTGTACGCAGTCTTGATAGCCAGTACTATAACTTGTACCAGTAGCTCAAACAAAACTTGTTCAATGTTCATATGCAGGGTGTGGACTGCATGTTGATTTCTTGTCTCCAAATATCACATGATACAATGCCCGCTTCTATTCTCGGGTTGCATGATCCAGGGAAGTGAGGCAATCTAACAGAATCAAAGTAGAACACTCTGGTATCTTTATATTGCTAACATATCCAGCTTATACTAGAGGCAGTTCCGATCGTATATACATGAGAGGATGCCATTCATCAACATATTCTGACAAACCAAACTTATATACATCGGAGTCATTCATATTTACATGAGAATAAACCACCAATCACCCCGTCCCTTCAAGCCAGGGCGCTCTCAACAAGCCACGTGATATCGTCGTTGAACGAACTGACATTATCAAAGTCCTTGACACCACCATTGCTCGAAATGTACCCCACATTGTTAAAATGGCGAATCCACCTCGTCGGGTACCCCCAAGTCCTAATGGAGCTACCCTTACCCGTAAGACCCGCCTGAGGACAAAACGTCGCATCCTCCTTGAACCCCTTGGATCCATCATTAGCATTAACCTGCAGGACGAAATTCGCATGGCGAAGAAAGCTTCCAGCCGTATCTTTGGACTCGAATGCAAAGCACTCGCTGTTGGTGAAGCCAGTGCGAACAATCCAGCTCGCCTGGCGCTTCAGCAGCGCCGTGCTCGATGACGATACAACTTGCGTGTTCACCGTCGCTCCGGAGTGAGCGAGGTAGCGGTCTGTGTAGCCCGCTGTCGTGGCCCGGAACGATACACTGGATCCAACGGTATATGCGGGTCCGCTGGTTATCAATCCGCGTCCGGTGGAGTATCCCGCTGCAACAAGGTTCGCCTGGACTTCGTTTTCGATTGCATCGCTGGGATACCCGTACGTCATTGCGCCCTCGGTGAAGGTTCCCTGTGCGCCGTTGCTGTTGTCGCCGCCGATACCGAGGATAATGGCGCCTTCTTTGCTCATGGGGTTGTAGCCCGACGCACTTGGGCGCGAGCCGTTGTAGTAGGTTGAGAGTCCGCCTGTTGTAGCGTCTCCGGCGCGGATGGCCCAGACGCCGGGCTTGCCCTTGACAATGGTTGTCAAGAAGCGGTTTGAGACGGATGGGTTTTGAATGTTTTGCTTGGGGTTTGCGCCGGAGAAGAGGCCGTTTTCTAGATCCGCCATGACCCAGGGACCGTTGCCGGCGCCGCTGCCCCACACGGTGTTGTCGCCAAAGTATATAGCTTCCATGTGGCCATTACCTGTTTTTTTTGGGTGGTTAGTGGGCTGGTATCCAAAGTCGGGAATTGATATACTTACCAGTGTCGAGGTTGTTCGTCTCGGCATTGCCATAGTCGAAGCAGCAGCCGCCGTTGTAATGGGTACCGTCCAAGACGGCGTATATACCTTGCGGCTGGTCTTTTACAGCCGAGCCTTTCACATTGTTATTGCGGTACCCGGTTCCAGGCGAGATGAAGACGCCATATGCCTTCTTGCCGCCTAGCGAAACAGGTGCACCGATAGCACTTGCAAGATTGTCGTAGCCGCCAACATCTGGGCCATTGAAAGCGCCTGGCGGTGCTTGCGTGAGATGGTTTCCTTTGCCAGATTGGTCGTAGAGGATAGAAATAAGGCATGTCGTGTTGGCACAGAACTTGTCTTGAGCAGCTGCGTTGGCAACACCGCCGGCGGACAGTGGTGCAATGTCAGTTGTGGCACCGTCTGAGCCACGCTTGACTTGGTAGAGCGGGCCACTGTATGCACTGTACAGAGCACGAGTGGTGGCATGTGCGGCAATGCATGGTGTGTTGCCTTTGGCGTAAATGTCACAAGGCCCTGCGTGAACCAATGAACCTGTGGCTGCAAGCCCAAGCGCAATGAGAAGTGATCGTGAAGACATGGTTTTTGGAGTGTAAAGCAAAAGACAAAATCAAGCCCTCTGTTTTCCTCTGGATTCCCCCGAGCTGCATTGCTTATATTTATTTATAGTGGTCTCGTGTTTCCGTAGCCATAATTACCCAGAGCATGTACCATTTTACACTGCAACAATGTGACTGCCTAATATTTTCCCTCCAACCGAAACATAGCGCTCACGTCACGTAAGCCTAGTGTCCTATAAGATCAGCCTATTCGTGACTTAATTTCCCCTCTACTCCCGTTACAACCATGCGGGGGAAGACGGTGGATGCGCATCATAGTGCCGGAAAAATAAACAAGCTTTGCCAAAAGCCGTCAAAGAGAACACAAGACTAAACGGAGCAAAGCTTGGTAACGTGCATCGGCAGTCTGATGGCCCGATGTGCCCCAGACGACCTAGCATACCAAAGGCACCCCACCCAATCACGATACATACCCTACCTATACAATACTGGCACGTGAACCGGGGGCTGCAAACGCTCTTTACTGGATTTGGGAGGCGCTCAACGTTTGAATATTGATTGTTCGTTCTAGTATACACCATCCTCCAGTCCTGCGAAATTCCCACCAGTCGAACCAGACCTCTCCGTACGTAGGTACATATCCCAGTACCGAGGCAAACCCAATCACTCACAAGGCAAAAGAAAACACATATTCACGGTTCCTTGCTTCTAGTCTTAACTCTCGTAAATCGAAATTACCGACTTTTTTCCCGTTGAAGCTTTCGAGTTGTAAGACCCAGTCGGAGGAGGACCGAAGTTTTAGCATAGGCAAGTAAACTTCGGGTACCGAGAATACGAACGCCCCAAACTCTCGCAACAGACGCCGTGTGACGCTATCGCTCTCATGCGCTAGATGGCGAAGAACCCAAAATGCGATGCATGTTTTTAAGGGGGTTGTGCCAGTTCCCGGAATTAGAACATGGTGATGCGGATGACAGGTGAGTGCGGCCAAAATCGTCGGCGTAATCAATGGGTGTACATACGTGTACATAATGGATTAGTTTTTCTTGACACTCATCGAAGAATTTGTGTATTCTGGATTCAACTACGTGGGTATTGTGGAAGATAAAGAGCCTAGATGGCAAGTGCCCAGTAATCTTTCCCTAGTGAGTGAAGATTCCGACGGGGTTGTAGGACATCTTGGACCTGGGGCATGTGTCCATGAGGTGCATACCGAGGTACGTGTGGGTCCATTTGTGCATCTCGTGCCTTTGCGCATTATGTGAAGGTCTCGACCGCCAACTTGGTCATCCTCCGATAGTACAATGCATATATTCGCTAGACTGCCGTCCATTTTTTTTCGGAACGAATACCGCTTTCATTGCGCTTCCTACGGCATCAAATCAGACCGTTGTATGCGATCAAGGTATGTTGCGAATCCTTGAACTGTCGTTTTGCGAAACTGTCATTCGAGTATTACTTCGTTGAAATTAGTGTATCATGGCTGCAACAATGTGCCAACTTCATTAAATGTACAAAGACGAAATTCTATGCAGCCAGTGCTGGATATATGGATTTGTTTTGCTCTACCGCTGTCATATCCAACCATCGTATTTTGTTATTCGGTCGTCGGTCGGCGTAGCTCGTTCAGGTCTCCGTGGTGGCAGCGGCATATGGTTCTCGTGAAACGACCTGTATCGGCTCGCAGGACCAGCGCGCGATGCTGCAGGTTCGCTCTTTAGCTCCACCTGGCTAGTCAAGGTAATAGTCATATCCCTGCTATTGTTTGTCGCCGTGCAGTTCGGTCGAAGTTTTTGTAGCCAGCGCATCATGCCATTCTTTGGCCTTTCCTCGTCTTTAGGACCCGTCTCTTGGTTGCCTCTTTCTAAATCGGTGTTCGTCTGTTTTGGTCCCGCATCTTCCCAGTTTTTCATCTCGTAACTATGACCTTTGTCATACATGAGCTCTGGCACGCTTTGGGGAGCGGCGGATCTTCTGTTTGACATAAAGGCTGCCGATTGACCGCCCGTAAGCGTTTTGGAGGTGCCAAGTGACGATTTCTTGAAAGATAGGCCTCCTGTCAGTGCTCCGGAGAGACTCCAAGGTATCTTCGCAAGCAATGGCTTGAGAACGGGAGCTGACGCGCACATCTATTCTTGGTTAACCTTGTACAAAGATTTGATCAAACGTGCTTACTACTCCCAGATCAATCTCCACGGCAGCCGCAATCCATAGTGGATATGCATACCATGTTTGATCCCACTCTTTGTAAAGACTTCGATATATGAACCAAGTTCGCACAATGCCAGCGCCAGTCACTATGAAACCCATGCCAAAGAAAAAGGCCACGCCTAGGCGCTGATAGAGCGGCATTTGTAGCTGAGAAATTTTAGTATTTATCGTGTTGCATGAGTGAGCTGCAACCTACGCCTAGCACCAGAGGGATAGGTGTCACTGTCGTCAGAAGATCTGCAACACAATTGATTATCCCAACAATTAGAGTTACGCTTCCTTCATCCAAGCAAGTCTCTGGTGGCGCGCCAAGCTTCCAGTAATTGCTAATGGGTATGCAAAAGAATATCGCAATGCAAGTAAATGACACAAAGATGCTGATTGTGTAGAAAACGTTGAAGTGGACCAGCCACCTGAACCATCTAAAGCAAAGGGTGTATTAGTATGCGTACTTGGCACATGAAGCATATTACAGGTAATGACTCACAATTTCCCTGAATCAGAGACCAGCCGGTAGTAGAAGCAGTGGAGAGAGAGCCTTGTGAAGGTTGCTGCCGCTGTGAAGACTACCTTGGCCGCCATGGCAATCTTGGATGTTGGAACAAACTTTGAGACTGGTATGTCCCAAACATGTCTATGGTGGCCAAGTTAGAAAGAATTTTTTGAATTGCTCATCCGTGTGAGCCACTTACCTGTCCCATCCGTACGACTTGTTAGCTAAGAGGACAACAATTGTGAGGCCTATCGCGAACAACTACACTATGTTAGACAAAAATAGGTTTGTGAGGGAAGAATACTTACGAGCGCGAGCAAGATGAACACGTCGTCAACGCCAAACCATCTTTTGATTACAATCCGGGTATAGAGTCGCGCAGCAACAATCAAGAGTGTTAGCGTTATGAAGATCGCGTTGACTATGACAAGTGCTGGCCCTCGTGTTACTGGGTCATCATAGTTGGGAGTCGGCCAGCTCAGTACGACCGACACTGGCGGCAGCTGCATCCTGGATTACTGAAGACCGGATGGAACGTACATGCAAGGCATACAGGCACAACGGCACCTATAGACTGCAGTCTAGGGATACGATCGGTCGCGGAGAAGGGAAAAAGACCAGGAAAAACAAGTAACCTTAGGATCCAGGCCTTAGTATTATGTTGGTTGGCTGGGTGGCTGGCTGGGTGGCCAGGTTTCAAACATGACATATGGGTCCGTTATTAGCTGCGGCACACGCTGGAGCACAGACTGCATTCGGGGAAACAGTATAGCATGTGGAGCTCGCGTGGCACTTGGACTCACAGAGCGGCCCCGATTAGGCGCTCCATTGGGGTCATATTTAAGGGAAAACTGCCCGCACAGGATGAAACTAGACGACGAGAAGCGCTTCCCTGTCAGTAGGTTCGATGTATTCTCTTGCTCTGACACAAATATTCAGTGTGTTGTCAACTGACTTGATTCGACTGTCGATACTTACTATAGCTATACTGCTGAGAAAAGGACAGCATGTCGCTGATTTGCCGTAACTCGATGCACCTGAGGTCACACTATCTCTAGTACACCACACGAATATGTAGGCAATCCCAATGCAGAAACATCCGAACCTATACGAAGGGTCTTATTGGCGCCGGAGAAGCTCTTGTCACCGCTACTGAGTGCAGGACAGGTACAGTTGGCGTAGGCATGAGCATCCTCAAATTCCGTATCCAAGAGCCGGTCAGCAGCGGCGAAGCCATCTGAAATCCTGAAACTGTGGAGTAAATGTACCAAGTTTGTCGAAACGTTGTTCTCACAAGTTGGCTGAGCAGATTAATAGAGGAAGCTACTATATCGGACAGTAGGAACACGCCTCTCGCCAAACCACAAGCGTTGGAGGTGTCGGATCAAGCCCCGCACTAAATCCGGTTAGTCGGAACCCTGCAGCGATCTACAAGCTGTGCGCCAATCACCATCTCGATCCATGAACTCTAAATCCATGCCAAACTTTAATCCAAAGAACTGTCCAATCTGGCCGGCAGACATGCCACTTCTCGGACTCTAGCTCGGCCCCTTCAACCACCCTGACCAAACATCGAGGCGGGCCACGAAGTTTATGACTCTTTTCCCCTTCAAAGCACCCTATCCAGCTTTGTATCCAAATACCATCCATCAAGATCATTGCCATCGAACGGGGCACGGGCTCAAAGATACTGACTTCTCGTATCTCCAATATCCCGTCGATACGAACATCCAAGAGTCCGGTTGGAGCTTTGACTATCGATCTCGGGAGTGCCCAGATACTGCGGATCAAATGTCACTTGAACAAATCGTCAGCGCTGTGACATTGTGATTGGGCATGTCCTATAAGGTGGGACATGGCAGTCTTTGCTATTCTGGGACAATAATTCTTATTACTCTACTCAATTGGCATCTTTGCCGTGTGTCACTAAGGTTGGTGGCTTGGTGACGATTCGAGCCCATCCCTGTTTAGTATACAAGGCTCCAATAGCATATCGCTAGCTTCAACTTTCCGAGGCTCCAACGCCGGATCTAAGCCGTGGCGCATTGAGCATACGACATCTAAGCTGTGCGCGAAACGGAGCACGGCCATGTGCCCACAGCCTCGGGCACTACATGTGAGAGGAGAATTGCGAATATCTCCGTTCTTGTAACTATCGAACCATGGGTCTGTCACTGGCGTTGCGACGCCATCAACGGACGCCCAGCCACCTTTTATGTCATCGGTAAAAGATGCCACGCGCTATCACCACTGCTCTTAGTGTTTTGAGGCCGTATGCCTAGTCTTGCCCGTTCTATTGTGGAACTTCGCTTTCTGTAACCATACACTATCTTCTTTGCTGGTCGACGAACAAGCCGCATCCCCCTTCCTGTTGTCTATTGTTAACTAGGTCATCCCCAACGGTGGATCAGCACTCAGCCACATCCACCATGACGGGCGGTCCCTTGCGACACGTGGGTTTTGGGTAAGAAGCGAACGGGTTCGCACGAGCATTCGCGTCATCGAAGAAACTGCCAGATCAGGCCCGAGAATAGTGACATGTTTCGTGGTCTAGACAAGCCTTACACTATCGTTCTGGACACATGGCTGTCGCATTGACATTATGAATTATGTGCACAAGATGTCTGATCACTAAACACCTGTTGCAAGTGCCGGACTCGAATGGCTGCATCTCAGGCGTCCACCGAACTGGTTCAATTGTGGCTTGCGCGAACATCGCCACTACTTAGCTCGCGGCAAAACAACGGCTCACCGGAAAACACAAATATGAACATGAACACTGAAACGGTCACAACTCAACACTGACTCTGCATCTATGAGCCGGGAACCCAGTCACAAAGCACTCGGCGTTTGGAACTCCCTTCTCCAACTCAGCCAGCAAGTAACACAAATAACTGATCAGCAAGTCAATAATTGTAGGATCACACATCATGCACACATCTCCACCCACAAAAAAACCCGCTCAGACGAAAGAGGGAACCCGAAGTCTCAAGCACGGTACGATCTTGCACCCCACTTTTCGCAACAAGGAACTCCCCAGTCCCAGCATCACGCATCGATGCAAGCTAGAAACAGTTGGCTTCCATTTCCCGTGGGCGATAACAGCCTACTACTGTAGCATGCATGCACCCGCTGCAAGAAATCAAAATTGCACCAAACCAACCCCCACCACCAACCAACCAACCAACCACCAATGCAAAGGACGGGGACGGGATGGGATTGTCGCATCAACGTATAGCATATAAGATATATCCATCTATAATAAGACAAGGAATGTACAGTGACAGACTTGTATATTAAAACAACCCAAGAAAGGAAAGTATTCCAGAGCGACACACACACACACACATTCTCTCTCTCTCTTCACTTCATTTGTCACGGAAGACTAATTCCGGTTCAATCTACACGCCCTCAAATCGCGGCTCCACTCCGCGCGTGCATGTGTCTCCAACGCCCGAGATTCAAGTGGGGAGAGGGAAGGGGGGCCGATTTTCCTTGCGTGAGTGTGGGTCGGACGGAGAATTTTCGTTCTAGATTCGATACGTGTAGAGAGGGTGGATCGGGGGGTGAGGTGCTGGTGGGAAGGGGATGTCGAATAGAGAGTGCTTGGAGCTTGTATGAGATGGGATTTGTGTTTGGGGGAGGGGGGAAGGGGTGGGTACTGTGATCTGACTGTGATCTGACTGTGCTGGATGTACCGCGGCATCACTGTCATTTATTATACTTTTTCAGAAAAAGAAAGGTAAATGTGCCCCAATGGAATTACGTTTATATTGACAACTTGGAGTGACAAATCTCTTACTGCTTGGCTTGTGTTTTGTATCACGTGAAGATACAAAGTTTCATAGAAAGAAATTGACGTCTTATCTGTTGGTAGAGTAACTTGCGAAGAGGTGGCTAGCGACATATACAAATATTCAGTTGAATACGTGTCTAGTCGGACGAATAGCCAGCCACTGCACTTCCATCACCAGATGTTACCAGTGGGGTTACCGGCCGTTTCCCAGCTCCAGGTGTCAGTGGGGAAGCGGGTCTTTTACCAGGTCGTGATGTTGGCCTCTCAGTTTCAAGATCTGGTGCTTCTGGTGCTTGTCGTACCGGCAATGTCGGATTAGGATTTGTGATAGGCGGGCGCGCGGCGAATCTGCCAACGTACTTGCGTCTGTATTCCATACCAAGGTAAGCGATTTCATAAACCTCGCACGCTCTTGGGAATCTCGATGTCCATGGAAAGGGTTCAGCTTGGAGCAGTTGTGCGCAAAAGTCGACCTCTCCAATGATAATCAAACCAGCGAAAGGTTTCGGGTAGTTCTCGTCCGAAAAGATGTCTGTTGTGCTGTGCATGGTTGAAGAGTCTCCAGGAATGAGATCGCTTTCTAGAGTGTAGAGCCTCTGGCCAAGCCACGTTTGGTCCAAAAATCTCCAGGATGATACTGGAGACGGCTCCATTGTATTGAGATGGTCAAATATCGATTGAAGCGCTACGATACGGTCTGCAATATCGTGGAAACAGGAACTAGAGATTCTGTCATCTACACGTACCGCGGCCTTCAGGTGGTCATCATTCAATGCGTTAGCTATACACAATGCCGTCTGGATTGCGCACTGGCAGGGGCTTGTATGAATGTAGATGATGCCGAATGGAAGTATTTGGTTTACTCGACGAGCGACAAGCTCTTGCACTTCGTATGGACTTTGTTGCAGACTCTCGAATAACTCGGCACAGCCGTCAGGCTGAAAATTCTCGCTCCTCGCTAATTTCGGGAACAGAGGCCTGAATGACTCGAACCTGATGGAGTGGAACCTGTCATTGAATGGAGTTGGTAGCCCTTCAGCTGACAAAATGCTTGGACAAGTCCTTGGTGTTGCAATATTCCGGCATTCAGGTGTGTTGACAAAGTATAGTGACTTTTTGGTGTTCACTGACAGGTAGCCTAGCTTCCTTCTCAAACTCAGACCTTGTAACAAATCAGTTTTGCGTTATAATCTACCGGGATAAACTTACGTCCACCTGTTTGCGTTGATGTAGAAGAGGAACCTGGCTCATCTGGTTCCTCGATCCATTGAGTATCCCGAAGCCATTCAACAATATTCCGTCTGTCGATGGTACCAATTTCCGAGTTCGAAATTATAACACTTGCAGCTTTGGAAAGGGCTATACCTCTTGGACTTGAGTGTTTCAATGCAGCTTCCACAAGACTCAATTTCTGTATGTCAAGAATGGCCGCAAGATCATTTTCCAGAAGGTGGTGTTGAGAATCCGGTACTGGAATGACTATGTATAGTTTTTCCACCAGGGTTGACAACATGTCCAGTAGTTCTGTGAATTTTGATCTGTCATGAATTGCCCAGCGTGCTTTCAAAGCTGTGCTAAGGGCACTGCGGTCTGGTAAAGCTTGAGCGGCTCGAGTACAGAACCTGGACCATGAGGTGCGAAATACATTCATGCTGTTCGTACTCAGTAAATTCGCTATTGTCGACTGTTTCCTTGCCGACATTGCGGTATTGG